AGCCTGCCGCCGCCCTTTGGGAGGCTCAGAGGCCTGACCAGGGGACAGGACACGGCAGAGTTCGTGGACACCACCCTGGGGTGTCCCAGACCACCTGGCCCCGCGCAGGGACTCGCCGGGGCGCTGGGGTGGGGGGGCCCAGGAGATGCGTCCCCCCAGCATGGCGAGGCCGGGGCAGGCGGGGTCCCCCCCTGCGCAGCCCCTGCCCGTCCTCCCGTGGGCAGTGATGTGCTCAGTCTCCTGACAGCCTGCCCAGCAGCCCCCACTTAAGCCGGGGCGTCCCCCCTCACAGTGGGAGCAGGCCGTGACCCTGGGCGACGTCTGGGTGGGAGCCGGGCTGCTCCAGGTGGGTGCACAAGCAGGAACGGGGCCTCTGGAAGCCCAGGTCCGGGCCTGGGGGGGCGGCGGGCGGGCGGGGTCTGCCCCCGAGGCCTGTCTGGCCTTCCCGCTGGGCACTGGCTCAGCTCCTGCTGTTCCCGGGGTGCCCAGAGCGGGTGTCTGGGGTCAGCGCAGGCTGGAGCACTCGCATGCAGTGTGGGAACAGCCCCGCGGCCGTGGGGCGCCGGATGGGGCTGTCGGGGTACACAGGCAGGGCCCCTCAGGCCAGACTGGGGGGTTGTGGACAAGGGTGTGGCTGCCAGAGGGGGAGGCCCTTCAGAGGGCTGGGGTGGGGGACCCCGAGAGACCGCCCTGGGGAGCAAGGGGCACACTCCACATGGCCATTTGGTCCAACCCTCCCGCCATCCCACCCTCTCCTGCCTCTGCCCTGAGGCCAGGGCCGGATGCCCAGGGCCGACCTCCCCGCTGGGGCCCTGACCCCACCAGCACCCCCTTTCTGAGCATGTTCCCGGGGCCACCTGCCAATGCCTGAACAGCCCCAGGTCCTTCCAGAGACCGGGACCCACATAAGCCCTGAGTTTCATGCGCGATTCGGGCACGACACCCCACCCCGGGGAGGAACAGGGCTGGGGGGGCCGGGGGTCCCCAGACAGGGTTTCTGGGGACCACAGCGGCGCCCTGGGTGAGACCGCATACAGGACACGCACAGGCCACCGGAGAGCCACGCTCCTTTCTTAACTTACTGGTCCCACGCACAGGAGCCCACACCCCGAGCGCCCGGCCCACGTGGGCTTCCGGCGGGCGGGCCAGGGTCCAGCCTGGGCGCAGCAGGCCTGTCAGCTGCCCGTGAACACCTGGACGCAGGCGCCGGCCCGTCTGCAGGTGAGCGGGGCGGCACAGTTCCAGGTCTAGCACCAGAATCTCCTGCTGGAGTCGGGACCGGGGGCGCACACAGCTGTGGCCGGGCGGCCCAAGCCGGGTCCACTCGCGCTCAGCGCCTCCCGGCCGAGCCAGACGCCAGTGTCCGCCGCCCAGAGGCGGGCAGGGCCAGGGTCTGGCCCAGGGTCCCTGAGTGGCCGCCGGGTCCCCGGGCCGCAGGCGGAGGTGGTCGCGGGGTGTCGCGGGGTTGTCTCAGCTACTGCTTCGAGGCTCCACCGGGGAGCCCGGACGCTGGCCTGTGGGTGGCGGGTGCGCGGCCCCTGCAAGGCAGGAAGGAGCCGCCGCTGGGGCGCAGGCAGGGCCAGCCGCATGCCGCCCGGCCAGAGACCCCCCGCCCCCCCCAAGGCCCACGCTGCCCCCGGGGTGCCACGAAACGCCTTCCTGAAAACGCCTGGCAACTGGCGCCTCAGTGCCCTTACCTGGGCCCGGGGCTGGGGATGAGCTCTCGGGGGGCTGTGGGGGGCCACCTGGAGAGAGAGAGGCAGCAGCTCACGCTGGTGCCCCACCCTTGGGTGGGCAGACCGAGCGGACCCTACCCAGGCCCCCCAGCACTCCTCACTCCCAGCCAGTGAAGCCCCCTCCTGTGAGAGCAGAGGGCCACGCCCCCCCAGAGTGGACGCCTGGATGAAGAGGACATCCTTTAAGGCCAGGTCAGCCTAGGAGGGGCAGGGCCTAACCCCGGCCTC